ATAATTTCATTTACATGCAGTTCCACAATCATCTCCCTCGCAAATATCACACAACGAAGATTCAATTCGATAATATTCGGTTCCACGGTATGCACTATTGTAATAATCATACAGAGTGACGGGAACTGGTTTCTGCTTAGCAACAGCAAAAGCTTTGTCTGCCACAATAGTAACACATACTTGTTCATCTTCCACTAAGCCATCAAGGTAAACGATCACTTTTGTATCAGAGCTTTCGGTATCGATGCGTTGAACACGGTCGGCAGCAAGTATATCGTTCAACTTCTCACTGTCGGCGACATAACCAGACGGTAGAGCAACTTCCATGACAGCCATATTCGATTCGTTGATTTCATCGTCAACAGCCGGTTGGTAATTTGCGCAAATATTAATCTGCAGCTGTTGCGATGGCAAAATTTTCGGCTTAATGTCTAGTTTGAATCCAGGTCTATCGTCTTTGGTTGCCAAGTTGTATTGATACGAAAGTTGAATTAACGAAGAAGCAGCACCTTCAGCTTCCAAACTTAATGAACGCGTGGATTTCGGTAACTGCGAGGGAAGAGTGAAATAAAGGTAAAGTTTACAAGTAGTTCGTCTACTTAAATTAAATGTTCTTACCACGTGCGTTTGGAGGACCAATGAGTTGTTTTTGTTCACCTCAAACCTATGTTGGGTAAGTTCTTTCTTTCCATCGTCAAAAGCTTTGAATGTTATCGACATTTTGCTGTTTCCAGTAATTGAAAATTTCTTAGAGAATTTAATAAGTGCCTCAAGACCTACTACAGTGTTTTGAGTAGAGTCGAAACCACCATTGCTGTTACGCTGACCGATTAACCACTTGATAATTGGTAAAATGTGGTTAATGCCTTCCGTGTCAACCAAAGTTTGTAACGCATAGGCAGTGATTTCAATATCATTGCGGTTCGCACTAGTCCACCATTTGAAACCGTTTTCCTCCTTGGCTTCTGCCTGTAGCTTTTCCAGCACTCTATCCGCAGCCGTATGATTGGCTTTATGCAAAGCAGCTGCAGCTATAGATAGAGCGTAAGAATTCTTTTCATTCTCCAGTTGGCTTACTACGTATTCGAGGCATTTTTCAATCTGCTTTTGATATAGCTCCGCGTATTTCTATTGAGAATAAAAATTTTAATTTAGTTTTGCTTTGGGTAGATATTCGTAAACATACTTCACTTTCTAGGAAGGCCAACAGCACATAAGCATTGAATCCAACATCATTCTGATGAGTTGGACTGAAGAGATGACCAGTTTGCTTAAATTGGCCGCTTTTCTCCTGGTTAGCAATTAGGAAGTCGAAAGCTTGTTGGATAACTTTTTCATCAATGGTCGTGTATTTAGTTGCCTGGATAAAGGAACGAGCCACATAAGCGGTTAACCAAGTATTCGGCGTGCTTCTATCTTCGCCAAAAGCGCTATATGCACCGCTTCTGTGTTTATAGGTCAACTCACGTTGATAACCAATTTCTAAGAAGTTTTTAGCTTTGCTCGCTACATTTGGCATATCAATCTGCAAGGCTTCCAAGTAGTGTAAGACCAATATGTTGGGCACGAAGTTAACCATATTCTGCTCACCACAACCGTAGGGCTTACGTACAAGCTCGTTAAGTCTGTTCATAGTAGGACCCAAGAGATCACCAACAACAGAGAATTCCACATATTCAGAATCTTTAACAGCCTCCGGGGGTATATCGACTTCTAGCGAAGCTTTCTGTGGTTTCTCCAAATTTAAGAAAAGGGCTTGATTTTCGTATTGGGTGACACCCTCAGCTTCTACTTTCAGTTTTTTATGTATAGCGTCCCCTGCCAACTGAGATGCAGCGCTAATTTTCAATTCTATATCTGCTACTACGGCTGGACGTATCATAAAGGATACGCTTTCTCCGCTATTCGGAGGTACCGATACCCGTTTCATTCTCTTTTGCGTGCTCAAAATGGATTCTTCAATTTCATTGGACACTTCGGTGAAATCGTACTCCTTGTCGGTATTGTCCATAGTGATTTCTGCATCCAATGTTTTATCCATGTAGTTGAAAATAATAACTGGTATCGCAATAACTTC